AAAAATCTCATGATTTTTGAGTGCCTACTTTCTTGGCAAAACAAAAACAAACATTTCACTAATACTTAAAATAGAACCAAAAAGGTATTTTCGTACATTTTTTAAATCACAGTCTTGACTAATGTTTTTTGAATGAAAGGAATATGCAGTGAGATCCGTATTGTAAGCCATATTTAGGAAGAAGGGCTGACATTTACCAGCCACTTATCCTGAGGCAGGTAATAGGCAAAGCTTGTTCGTGTGTTTCCTTAATTATGGAATTTATTATTCATTTCACTTATTTACATCATTTTCCTTCTGTACTCAAGATTATATACAATTATGATATAAAACAAGAGAGCTTACAGTACCTATTTAATAGGCACACACTCATGGGTAATTTAGAGCTTTGTGGTTTGCTTTAAAAAAAAAAATAGGATGATTGGCTCACTTGGGACTTGGTGTCTGCTTCACTCAGTGTTGTACTTTTCCTTCTTGACACTATAGAGCATAAGCGGAAAACAAAACCCAAAAAACTATGATACCATCTGGCATTAATTTTGTTTGGAAATTCCCACTCTTGTTAACAAGTCTACATGATAATGAATCTCCCACGATCTTAACTGCTTGATTTATTTGTATTTTTCCTTCCTGAGTTTACGTAATAAAAACATCAGAGAAAAGCTCATTATTAAAGGGTTTCTAGACTTCTAATAAAGGTGGACATTTAAAAGAATGCTTATCAATATTAAAATAAGATATTTTATTTTATGAAATGTTATAAAATCTTGGTAATGTTTGCACTGCTAATGTTTAAATGGATGTTACTTTAGGTTTGAAGTAAAAGCAAAAACAACTTGATACCCCATTATCAACATCTACAAAACCATTCCTTTTAATCTGGATTCACCATGCATTTCATTCTTCATGTGTCCTCAAGGGATTAGAACTAGAACATATGGGCAGGAACCAGAGAGAATGAAAGAAAGAGAGAGGGAGTGGATACTTAGGTAGATTCCAGAATATTGGTGCCATCCAGGAGAGGATTAAGCTCCTTGTCTGTGTGTGGTTTTGACACTGAGGATCTTTAACAGCCTTGCTTCCTTATATTCTGTGGTTAGAGGACTGTCTTTTTGATATGTTTCCTGTTTTCTTTTCTTTTTTTTTTTTTTTAATATTTTTTGTCTCTTGTCCACATCAATCAGAAGCCCCTCAGTTCCTGCACATGGGTGAGATCACTGATGGTGTAGACATGAGAGCAGAGGTCGGAATTCTCACCCGGAATGTTGTGATCCGAGGAGAAATGGAACACTCATGCTACGCTGGAAACCAGTGCCAGTTCTTTGATTATGACACCTTTGGGGGACATGTCATGGTAGGCAAAAAGATTTAAGGAGCTCCTTGGTTGCTAAATACGTGTTTGAAAAAACTTCCAAGTTTTGAATTTTTTTGAATTTTTTTTTTT